GCTGGCTGGCTGGCTGGCTTGGGAACTAGGGTCCAGTCTGGTGAGATTTCTGTCTTGAGGTTGGAGCTTATAAACGCAACAGAACTGTATTTGCATTGTCTCTTGGAGTTCTTTGGGCTGAACCTGACAGGTGGGAGGTTTCAAGTCTGTGAGCAGCCCGATGCAGCACAGGGAGCCCCAGGCTAAGAACGCCCAGTTTACGGATGACCCCTAGTTAGGAATGGAGCCTGTTGCAGCAAATTCAAGTTAAATACACCATGGTTTGAGTTCATTACGCAATACTGCTTAGACAGTATTATACAATGATACTGTTCCAGCTTACATATAAATTCGACTTAAGGACAGACCTTGGGAACGGACCTCGTTCTTAAACTGGGGAGCACCTGAAGCTCCTGCTACCCTTTGTCTGAAACTGGCCAAAGCGCATCATGACCCTTGAACTGGGTCTCGGACCCACCTCCTGCATTGCTTTCCACGACACTCAGCTCCGCTCATCCCTCCAGCTGTCAGAACACCCTCGGACTCCTCCTCCCCCCTCCCCTCCCCAACTTTCTATTTATTTACTTATGTATTTATTATTAAATTTATATGCCACCCATCTCCCCCAGAGTAACTACGGTTTCTCCTTCCCAGCAGCAACCATGGTTAGGTGCAAAGCCCGACTCAGCAAATATGAACTAGGAACACCCTCCAGGCCAAATGCATCCACAGAGCCCTGCCCCAAGGCACAATTTGCCCAGCCGGACCTGCTCATCTCGCTGTGTTTGGACTTGTCTGCTGGCATTTGCCAAAACGGGTTGATTTCAGGCAATCCAGAAGGAAAGAGAAAGAGGACATCCATGAAAACCAGGTGAAGCTTCAATCATGCCACTGCAGCCGCCATCTTGACTTTTTTGACACCCCTGGGGGCTTGGGGGTTCTCAGCCATGGCAAGAGCCAGTCTTGGAGGCAGGAAGACAAACAGGCAGGAGAATCCACAGCTGTTTTTCTCCCTCTAACAGAAGGGAAAATCCAACCAAAGGTGTGAAATCAACTGAGGTGGAGACTATTCATGGCAGCAAATTTTTTGCAAACATTGCTCTTTTCTTAATTACATCTAGAGGCAGACCCTTTGTCCTTGCTGAAACCGATGTCTCAACTGGGTGCTGCACTGTCCTGCCTACTTGGAAGGGCACCCGCTCTGTTTGGCTTCTGCCCAGTAAACTCTAATTTTTCTTCTTTTCCATGTTTTTTTTTTACTGAAATTTATTTCATCATTCACTGAGATCTAGCCGACTCTTAGAGTCTCTAGAAACAGTATTTCCCCGGACAACAGCAGCGATGTTTCCCGGCTCTAGGAGAAGCACGCGTGAGCCACAGATTCGAAGGTTCAGCTCACACTTGTCATGACCTGGAGGAGAGTGGAGACTTTTCCCCCCTGCATGATGGCCTAATGACCACCCCCTTTGGCTTGCTTCCAACAATGCTGGACAAACCCATTGCAGAGTAAATTTAGGGATTTATGGGCAGCCTTTGATTAATCTGGGCGGTCTGCAAGATAAACAAATCTGGGCATGACGGGGGAAGAAGGTGGTCAGCTAAGGGTGGTCCCACGCATAACAACGGGACCGTTACCTGCCGAGAAAGCAGCTCAAATGCAGCAGCAGCAGCAGCCCTGGACCCTCCAAGGGGTCGCACTAGCCCTCCTGTGCTGGCCTGAGACACCCAGGGAGCCCAGGTCCCCCGGCAGAGCGCGGTCCACCCCTGCTGGCAACCTAGCCCAGGGTAGTCTCCCTCGCCACTCCACCTGGACAAAAGGTTGCTCGGCTGGCACGGCTGGATGCCGCCCCCGGCCCACGGGGCGCAACCCAGAGAAGGGACCAGAGATAGCTGGAACTCTCTTGGAAGCTTCCCGTTAGGAGCCTGGCCTGCATGTCGGCTCCTGCACACGGATTCTTACAGCCGTCGCCGATCCCTCATAACGCAACAGGCTGCTTGCGAAATCCAAAGGCAGTGTGCAGAATGAGAAAGGGTGTTGCTGCCGGAGGTGTCCTTCCTGCCTTTGCAAAGGAGGAAGAGGCCAGTTATTGGAAGCTGCGGGGATGACCGTCCCGGGAATCACCCTGACTCACTCCCGAGGCCACTGTGGCAAACCACAAGGCAGAGTGGAAGCGAGGCGCCCTGGATCGTGGCCTGGGGGAGGGCCAGACCGCTGACTGAGTACGGCAGAACAGGCTTGCGCCGGGCCAGAGGTTCAGGCAGGAGCCCCGCTTGGTCCGGGGGGCTCATGAGATGGAGCCACCACCAGGAGACGGAGGTGAAGCTCCCCAGTCAGTTCACGAAGACCGGCCAGCCAGAGCGAGGCTCGAGCGGTGGGTGTCCACCTGGGAAGCCCAGTGGGTCATCCTGGACGCGCCTGACTTCATTGGATAGGCCTTACTCCCCTCTTGAGGAAGCGATGGCTGTGAGGGGAGCAGGACACCGAAGGGCAAAGTTAATCTTTGGCAGTTATTCTTACGAATGAAGAAAGGTAGGTTAAAACTGCCTGAACACACACACTGACACCACACCTGCATTCCCGCAAATCACTAAGACCGAAGGCACCGACTGAACCAGTTCAGTTCTTTAGACCAGCAGGAGGGGTCTTCTGGAGATGCCCCCCCCCCGCCAAAGGCTCAGCTCACCCTGTTGTGGGAAAGGGCCCCAAGACCAGGAGTGCTCTCCCCGCTTTCAGAGAGAGGGCAAAACCCACCGTCCCTTTCAATAGATTGCAGTGATAATGACTTTACTTCTGATTTTTATTTGCAAATTGTATTCCAATTTTTAAAAGTTGTTTTATTTTTTATTTTTAAATTTACTTCTGATTTTTTGTTAAATATATTTTAACTTGTATTCTTAATTAAAAGTGTTCAGCTTATTCAACAAAGAATATTTAAATAATCCATGGCTTAGTGCAATGAATGAACCTGGCTGCGGGGGAGGCACTCCAGAAAGCCAAAACGCGTGCACACACACCCCTTGGCTTTGTTTCTGCAGCTTTCTGACACTAATATGATAGCTAGATTACACCACTTGCTTAACAGATCACTAAAAGCTTGGCAGCAGCTTTCACACAACATGCTATTCTTGGTTTCTTGATTTGCATCCTAGATGAGTATTGCATGAGCCCAGCCCCTCTGGTTAGTTAGGGGTAGAGCATATCGGGCAAATCCAGAAAAACAAGTTAACTCGGCAGCCGGGTTAAGGGCGTTGTGTGAACCCGGCCACGGATGAGAATCATTTGCAAAGGCTTTGCGAAGCGGCGGCGTAAGAGTCGGGGGAAAGCGACGCGCTCGGCAGCAAAGCGCCCACCGGGACGCAGAAAGGCGGGCGGGGGAGTCCTCGGCCGGAGGCCTTCTCTCTTCCCCAGCGCTCCCTTCCCTCCCGAAATCGGCACCAGCCGCGTCAAGCCAAAGTTTCTCAGCCTCTCCGGCGAAAACGGGCTGGAGGAGGGAGCCAGCGAACAGCTTTGAGGCTGCGTCCTCCAGCATGAAACCCCAGCAACGGACCCGGTTACTGCCTGTTCTGCGTCCTCACAAATCAAGCCAGCGGTTCTCGAACTTGGCAACTTTAAGAAGCCCGGCTGGGGAATTCTGGGAGTTGAAGTCCACACATCTTAAAGTTGCGAGCAAGGTCTCACGCGGGGTCTCGCCTTGTCGGGTCGATGGGAGGGGTTTAGGACCCGGGAGATCCAGGGCTGGGGTGAGACCTGACGACAGGCGGGGGCACCGAGTCGCCCAAGGCGGGCCGGCATCCTA